GAAATATAAAAAAAAAAATAGAAAAAATATGTTTTTTTTGTTTTTTTTTCTTCAATTTCCAAAAACTTGTGGCAACAAATGAGATCTGCAAAATACTTATTGTGCTTTTTATCAAATTCCTTGGGGTGTCTACTTTCCAAAAAGGGGTCATTTGGGGGGTTAGGTGCTATCCTGGCATTTCAGGGCCTCCGGAACTGTGATAGGGAGTCTGGAAGTGTAATGAGGAAATAAAGCCCTTTAAAAGCCTCAAGGTGCTTATTGGATTTTGGGGTCCTGTACTTGGCTAGACTGCCAAAAAGTCTCTCACATGTGGTACCCCCATACTCGGGAGAAGTAGCAGAATGTATTTTGGGGAGTAATTCCACATATACCCATGGCATGTGTGAGCAGTAAATCATTTAAGTGACAATTTTGTGTAAAAAAAAAATGGGTTTTTTTTTGTCATTTTCCAAAAACTTGTGGTAAAAAAATAAATTCTTCTACTGATTCAATATGCCTCTCAGCAAATAGTTTGGGGTGTCTACTTCCCAAAAAGGGGTCGTTTTGGGGGGGGGGGGGGCATTCTATGCCCAGCATTAGAAGTTTATGCCACACATCACTCACTCTTCTAACCACCAGAAGACCAAGCCTTTTCTGACACTTTTTGTTCACATGAAAAAAATCAGTATTTTGTGCTAGGAAATTCATTTAAACCCCCAAACATTATATATTTTTTTAAAGCAGACACCCTAGTGAATAAAATGGTGGGTACTACAATTTTTTATGGCACATAGTACTCACGCAGCGATTTTTCAAACGCAAATAAAAAAAAAACTACACTTTTTTTTTTACTTTTAATGCACAAAAACACAATATATTGGCCAATTATTTGGTATAGTATAAAAGATAATGGTATGCCGAGTAAATACCAAACGTGACATGCTTTAAAACTGCGCATGCCCCGTGCAATGACGACAAACTGCAAACATTTTTAATATCCATAGGCAACACTTTAAAAGCTACCCATTTTAGATTTACAGAGGAGGTCTAGTGTTAGAATTACTGCCCTTGATCTGATGTTCACGGCAATACCTCACATACATGGTGCAACCGCTGTTTACATACCGGTACAGGGTCAAGGCTTGTGCACACAGGTGTGCGCGCATGGGAGGGGCGATTTTTTTTTTTTTTTAGTTATTTTGATTTTTTTTATTATTTTTACATTGTACCTTTCATTTTTTTTTTATTGATCACTTTTAAAGCTATAACAGGGAATGCAAATATCCCCTATAACTTCAATGGGCATTGTCATATATTCTTTTTTGAGAAATCTGGGGTCTATCAGACTCTGGATATCTCCTCTGCCCTTACATTATCTAATCAAACCAAAATCGGTGTGATCAGATGCTTTCCCAATTTACAAATGGCGCTGTTTATACCCTGCGAAACTGAAGTGATGAAATGCTTGTAGCTTCCGAATTCTTAGACTATAGAGATGTTTGGCACCACTCTGGTCTCCAATCAGCTCTATGGTCAGCTGGCAGAAACACCGGCTGCATTCTCAGGTTCCCGGATGGCACGAGACTGCCCGAGAAGGCCGTGGAAGGCAGTGGGGGAGGGGGGGGGGTCATCATCTCCCGCTGCTTGTAAAAGCAATCCTGCACCTAATTAGCCACTAGGATTGCTTTTACATGAAAGCCGATCGCCGGCTGAAAAAAACAATACCAGGAGGATGCCTGCAGCTGTAGGCATCATCCTGGTATAACCATTCAAAGTCCAGTGATGTACCAGTATGTCGCTGGTCCTTGGGTATATATACTGTGTTCTTTTTTTTGTATGCAGCCTGTGGACTGAATGAAAAAAAATGAGAAGAAATCTCTACCAGAAAAAGTGTGTGGTATGCCCACCATTAGAATATACCGCCCTGCATCCACCCACTTCTAAGTGTGGGCACACATTAGGTCACACGTTGCCACAAGTACCAGTTCCAAGATTGAACAAATGTCTAAATAGTGGCACACTTGAATAACAATTGTCCACGTACAAGTGGTACCCCATATGGGAAAAGGATGACACCAAGTCCCAAGCTATCTTGCCACTGTTCCCCATGTAGTCTGGGCATCCGGGGACTCCTCGTGACTATCTTTTCCCTCGTAAATCCAAAACTTATAAGTATAGCCTGTTGCCCTCTCACAGGTCTTCTACATCTTGACCCCATATCTGGCACGCTTGCAGGGGAGAAATTGTTTGAATGCAAGGCGACCAGAAAAATTAATGAGGGACTCATCAAAGCAGATGTTTTGCTGGGGAGTATAGACATCTGCAAATTTTTGGTTAAGGTGACTTGCGAGGGGATGAATTTTGTGGAGCCGGTCAAATTCAGGGTTCCCCTGAGGATGACAGAGTGTATTGTCGTTGAAATGCATAAAACACATTACACTCTCATATCTATGCCTGGCCATGGCAGCAGAGAACACGGCATATGATGAATCGGGTCTGCGGACCAATACAACCGCAATTCATTTCTTTTAGTAATGCCCATGTTGAGGGTTAGGCCCAAAAAAAATGTAAATTTGAAAACCGTAATGAGTTTCCATGCGAATGGTCTGGCAAGATTTGAATTTGGGTTGGCGGTGATAAATTGTTGTGCATATAAATTGCTTTGATCCACAATCAACGCATACAGATATTCCGTGAAAAACAGCTCCAAAAATCAAGGAGGTATGTGAAAGACCAAGATGTACTAGACCGCTGGTACTTGCAAGTTCACCAAAAGGTAGAGCGGCACTAGTACTGGCACTCTGCTGTATATGAGAGTCATCAAAATTTACCGCCAAGTGCTAACAGAGATCAGGCCTGATTCTGTGAACACTGCAGTTTTGTGTGCAATGTATCAAGTGACAGTGACCTACTGACTCTGCACTTGCTGGGGGAGAAGGGGGGTAAGCGTAGGGGCTAAACGCAGGTGCCGGTGAGGACGCTATACTAATGTGAACGCTGGTATAGTGCTGATCTGATCACAGATATTGATCCGTTCAGACACTAGCAATGGAGGTTTATTGTGCATGAGCGTCGTCCTATATATATGTGTGTGATTTTGCGCACCCATGCCGCTCTGTAGCAGTATTTCTGCTATAGGGAGGTCAGGAAGCGGTTACAGAAGCGGTTTGTGTTACACCGCTGCGTTATTTTAACTGACAAATGCGCGGTCATGCAACACTGCACCCAAATTAAATTTACGTCCTTTTTTATGCAGGTATTGAGCTTTCTTTTGGTGGTATTTGATCGCCTGTGCGTTTTTTATTTTTCGCGCTATAAAAAAAAAAGGCTGACAATTTTGAGAAAAAAAAATATTTTGGACTTTTTGCTATAAAACATGTCCAGTAAAAAAATTAAAAAATCAAATTTCATCATAAATTTCAGCCAAAATGTATTCTGTGACATGCCTTTGCTAAAAAAAATATATGTAAATTAATTGGTTTACGTGAAAGTTATAGCGTCTACAAATGGCGGGAAAGATACTGGCATTTTGTTTTTTTATATTAATAATGGCAGCGATCAGCGACTTATGGCGGGACTGCGGCGGACATTTTGACACTGAGGGGGAACTGACTTGGGGTCACTGACATCCCCAGTGACACCAATACAGTGATCAGTGCAAAAAAAAAACACTGACACTGTACTAAAGGTACTGGGGAGGAAGGGGTTAACTTTTTTTTAGGCAATCAAATGGTTAACTGTGTGAGGGGAGTGTTTTACTAGGCGGCGGGGGGTATGTACTTCACGGGAACACGTGGATCCTGACAGCTAAACTCTGCTCTCAGGAACAGCGTGTTAGCAGCTGACAGGGAGCAGAGCTGCATTGTAAACAATGGAGCTGTGCTCTGTGTCACTGTTTGCCGGCAAATGCCGGGACCCGGCGGGTAATGACCGTCCGGGACCCGGTGATTGACATCCGCGGCCGCGATCGGCGGCACGGGTAGGGTGGTCACGCGCCTCACGCGCGCCCCCTACCTGTTTTGCAAAATGGTGTTTTAAAACGTGATTTTGCGCAGCGGTGCCGCCCTGTAGCCGTTTCTACAGTGGCTGGTCGGCAAGTGGTTAACCACTTGGCATCCTGAGGCTTTACCCTCCTTAATGACTAGGCATTTTTTTTGCTATTCGGCACTGTACTATTTCAACTGGTAATTGCGTGGTCACGCAATGCTGTACCCAAACAAAATTTATGTCTTTTTCTACACAAAGAGCTTTGTCAGTGGTATTTGATCACCCGTGCACTATTTTGCACTATAAACAAAAAAAAAAAAAAAAAAAAACAGAAAAATTAGAAAAATAATATTTTTTATTTTCGGCTATAAAAAAAAAAAAGTTAGTAAACTCACAGTTAGTCATAAATTTAGGCCAAAACGTATTCTGCTACAGGTTTTTGGTAAAAAAAAAATCCCAATAAGTGTATATTGCTTTGTGTGAAAGTTATATCATCTACAAACTATGGTATAGATCAGGGGTCCTCAAACTACGGCCCGCAGGCCACGTGCGGCCCGCCTAGGCCATTTATCCGGCCCGTCGGCAGGGGCGTATTTCCCGCGAGAAAGGGACACTAAGTACAGGGGTGGGCAGGGGGCTGCTATACCATACCTGGCTCAGGTCCCAGACCCATGACTATCCAGTCCAGGAAGCGCTGCTCCTTCATTCACTTCGGCCACTCCCTCACTCCTGCCGCTCGGCTCTGCCTCCTCACTAGTGATTGGGCACCAGAATTGTAGCTCAGGAAATGCACACAGGCGGCCAATCACCTGCGAGGAGGCGGAGCCGAGTGGCCCCTCGAACATCGAGTGAGGGAGAGGCCAGAGTGAAGAAGGACAGCTGACAGGTAAGTGTGCCGTGCTGATGGTGCTGCTGCAACCAGGTATGCTGGCTGCAGCAGCGCCATGCTGGAACAGCGGTCAGCAAGTTAAGGGTCATTGGTGTCAGTGGGGGGGAGGAATAGTGCCCCATCATTGGTGTCACTGACACCAATGATGGTGCACTATTCCTCCCCCCCACTGACACCAACGATGGGGCACTATTCCACCCCCCACTGACACCAATGATGGGGTACTATTCCTCCAATTGACACCAATATTGGGACACTATGCCCCCCACTGACACCAATGCACTATTCCCCCCCCCCACTGACACCAATGACGGGGCACTATTCCCCCCCCCACTGACACCAATGACGTACTATTCCTCCCACTGACACCAAAGATGGGACACTATTCCTCCCACTGACACCAATGATGGGACACTATTCCTCCCACTGACACCAATGATGGGGCACTATTCCACCCACTGATACCAATGATGGGGCACTATTTCGCTCCATAAGACACACTTGGGGGGAAATGTCTGTGCGTCTTATGGAGCGGCCGGCCCAGTATTCCCGCCGCCGTTGTATGTCCGCAGTCTCTGGTCATCTCCTGTACTCTGTCCGCATTTGTTCATAGTTTTTTTTTTTTTTTTTTTTTTTAAACTATAGTCCGGCCCTCCAACGGTCTGAGGAACAGTGAACTGGCCCCGTTTAAAAAGTTTGAGGACCCCTGGTATATATAAATAGAATTTACACAGCTTTTACTCTGACTGCCCATCACATTTCTTGGTGCTAATATACCAGGACAGTACAAACACCCCCAAATGACCCCTTTTCGGAAAGTAGACAACTTAAGCTATCTGCTGAGAGGCATATTGAGTTCATGGATTTAATTTTTTTTCCACAAAGTGGTCACTTAAATGATATATTGCTCACAAAAGCCATGGGTATATGTGGAATCACACCCCAAAATACATTCTGCTACTTCTATAGAGCATGGGGATACCACATGTGAGATTTTTTTGGGAGCCTAGCCACATACAGGAGCCTGAAATCCAATGACCACTTTGAAAGCTTGAAGGTGCGCAACTTCCTCACTACCTATCACAGTTTCAGAGGCCCTGAAATGCCAGGATAGCACCAAACCCCAAAAATTACCACTTTTTGGAAAGTAGACACCCCAAGGAATTTAAAAAGGAGGCATGGTGAGTATTTTGCAGATCTCATTTTTTCCTCAAGGTTTTGAAATATAAAAAAAGTTAGTTTTTTCTTTTTTCCCCAAAACTTGTGGTAACAAATGAGATCTGCAAAATACTCAAAACTTCTTATCAAATTCCTTGGGGTGCCTTTCCAAAAATGGGTCATTTGGTGCCATCTTGGCATTTCAGGGCCTCCGAAACTGATAGGTAGTCAGGAAGTGTAATGAGGAAATAAAGCCCTTTGAAAGCCTGAAGGTGCTTATTGGATATTGGGGTCCTGTACTTGGCTAGACTGCCAATAAGTCTCACATGTGGTATCCCCATACTCAGGAGATGTAGCAGAATGTATTTTCTGGGGTAATTCCACATATACCCATGGCATGTGTGAGCAATTACTTAAGTGACAATTGTGTTTTTTTTTTGTCATTCAAAAACTTGTGGTAAAAAAAAAAAAAAAAATTTCTATTGACTCAACATGCCTCTCAACAGTTTGAGGTGTCTACTTTCCAAAAAAAGGGGGTCATTTTGGGGGGGTGGGGGCATTTTGTGCCCAGCATTAGAAGTTTTTGCCATACATCACACTCTAACCACCTGAAGACCAAGCCTTTTCTGACACTGTTCACATGGAGGGGGAGAAAAAAAAAAAGTGCATATTTGCTAGGAAGGTACTTTGAACTCCCAAACATTATATATTTTTTTAAAGCAGACACCCTAGTGAATAAAATGGTGGGGTGCTGCAATTTTTAATGTCACATAGTATTCGCGCAGCGATTTTTCAAATGCAAATTTAAAAATAAAAAACACTTATTTTAATGCATAAAAATATTATATTGGCCAATTATTTGGTAACTTATAAAAGATGATGCTATGCTGAGTAAACAGATACCAAACATGACATGCTTAAAACTGCGCATGCCCAGTGCAATGGCAACAAACTGCATACATTTTTAATATCTAGAGGCACTTTAAAAGCCTTTGCAAACTACCATTTTAGATTTACAGAGGTCTAGTGCTAGAAAATTACTGTCCTTGATTGGTGCAACCACTGTATACATACTGGCATGGGGTCAACGCTCGAGCATGCACGTGCGCATGGAAGGGCGAGGGTACTCAAGTTTATTATTTTGACACTGTCCATTTTTTTTTATCACTTTTAATGCTATCACAGGGAATTCAAATATCCCCTATAACTTCAATGAGCATTATCATTCTTTTTTGAGAAATCTGGGGTCTCAGACTCTAGATATCTCCTCTGCCCTTTAATTTTTTATTATCTAATCAAACCAAGATTGGGGTGATCAGATGCTTTCCCAATTAACAAAATGGTACTGTTTATATCCTGCAAAACTGAAGTGATGAAATGCTCGTAACTTCTGATTAGACTATAGAGATGATTGGCACCATTCCGGCCTCCAATCAGCTCTATGGTCAGCTAGCAGAAACACTTGCTGCATTCTCAGGTTACCCCCAATGACATGGGACTGCCCGAGAAGGCTGTCTTATGCTTTCCTTATATTTACCTGCTATGTGCTTGTCCACGAGACATTGTGTAAACCCCAACCTGTTCTCAGCCCTGAGGGGACCTTTTGGCCTCCTGCCAGTGTCTTCAATTATAATTAATATTAATTATAATTATTATGGCTCTATTGGCCTACATGTTGGTAATAAATTTCAGTATTCTCCTGTTTTGTTTATGGTTCACCTAGGATGTCTGTTTAGTGGAGTGCATGTTACTGGATCTGTCTTCCCCGCTTCCTGCGGCTGTCCTACTGACCCATGTGATCTGGGTCCCTCCTACTGCCGGCTCACTGCTCCCCTCAGGGGACGTTATATTTGTCCACTGAGTTATCCTTCCAATTTTCTCCATGGGTATTATGTCTGTCTCCCATAAAGAATTGATGTTTTTATCCTGGAATGTAAGGGGACTGGGTGATAAAACGGGGTGCTGTCTTCCAAGTATTTAAACATTTAAAATCGTCTGTAGTATGTTTACAGGAAACCCATTGGAAATCTGACAGTTGGTACCCTCTGCTCTCATTTATTTCCGATACAATATCATTCCTTCCACGCCACTAGAGGTGTGTATCCTCATCTCTAACTCTGTTCAATTTGTTCATGTGCAGGAGTGGATTGATGCCGAGTGCACGTATACTTTCCTGCTGTGTACTTTGAATGGGTTTTCCAGCATAGTGGCTGCAGAATATATATCCCTTCGCCCTACTCTTCAGAGGTCATTAAACGCCTAGCTCAATTTATGGCCAATCATCCTGTTGTTCCCTTCTTGGCGTTGGGTGGTTATAACAATTGCTTACTCCCTAGTGTGGATAGATTGGCCTTGGGCAGTAGGGACAGACAGTTACCCTCTCAGCCTACCCCATTTGCTAATTTGTTGGTGGAAATGGGCCTCCGGAATGTGTGGTGGATGAAGTATCCGACAGCAAAAGGTTATTAATGTTTCTCTGCTACTCATGATGGGCTTTCATGCATAGATTTGGGCCGTGGGAACTCGATTATCCTGCCATATGTGTTTGATGCTGCATATGAACCCAGGGCTCTGTCTGACCATGCCCCTTTCTGGGTCAAGCTACGGGTGTGTTATGCCCGCTCTCATCCACTGTGGAAGGTGAACCCATTTTGGTTGACTGTTTCCGAAGTCAGAGTTGATTCTGGGGGAGTTGTCAAACTTTCTGCAGCGGAATGAAGGCCTGTCCCCACCAGGAATGGTTTGAGATGCGCTGAAGGCCTTTGAGAGGATTGATTATGTGGGAGATTTCAGCGGTTAAGCGTAGATCCAGGGAATGGGAGGAGAAGGTACGGTTAGATGTGCAACAGCGGGAGGTTCAGGTGATACAAGCCCCGTAACTGCACCTCCTGGAAAGAGGCCCAGATCCTTTATGAAATCAATTCTTACTCAAGTGGCTGATAAGTAGTGATATTTTTTGCAACAAAAATATTGAGTAGGGGAAAGTACAGGGCATCTTCTTGCTCTTGTGGCAAAGTCACAACAAGGGAGTCCACCTATAGACAAAATTGAGTGATTTGCACGAGTCATGTGGAAATCCTGAATTTATCAATTTTACGATGATCTGTATGCTTCTAAAAAAAACCTGTAACCACCCATTCAGAGCTTTTGCAGTTTCTAAACACCTGCTCTTTTTCTGATTTATCGGAGACTGACCAGAGAGAAAAGGAGATGCCAATTACTGTTGAGGAGCTGTCTGAAGCTTTGGCAGGCACCCCCTGTAATAAATCTCTGGGTTCAGATGGATTGCCATTCGAAGTTTATATTAGATATGGTGAACAGCTCCTCCCGGCATTGTCCAATGCCCTGAATGCCACAATGGAATGGAAATGGTTTGCCCCCCCCCCCATGAATGAAGTGGTTATTATAGTACTATTGAAGCCTGAAAAATATCTATTAAAACCTGATTCCTACCGACCCATTTCCCTTCTGAATACGGGCGCTAAATTGTTGGCCCGGGTTCTAGCTACTAGACTAGCGCAGATTGGTAATATCGTACATAAAGATACGTCAGGGTTTATTCCCTCTAGAGCGATGGCTAATATTCAGACTTTTTTGAATCTACAAATTCCGGTAGATAATCCTAGGGGGAGGGCAATTTTATCTTTGGATGCGGCCAAGAGATTTGATAGTGTGGAATGGCCTTACCTATGGGAAGTATTGTCTAGATTCGGCTTTGGTTCCAAGTTCATTAGTTAGATGCGTCTTCTCTATGCGGCCCCTAGTGCCAAATCTGGTAAAAGCATCCTTTCATATTACTGGCTCCCTTTCCTGTACTCCCTTGTGGAAGAATCCGCAATATGTAGAACTGGTTAAACTGGAGGGTTTTCATGACTGGAGGGATCGAGGCCTGAAATTCATCTCAGCTGTGTTAGGGGGTAAACCTAAAATCCTTTTCACAACTGCATATGGAATTTACACATAAGCATTTCTATCGATATCTTCAGCTGCGCCATGCGGTACACGCTCAGTCTTCGCTCACTAATCTCGCATTGACAGACTCAGTTTTTCTTCAGGATGTAACTCAGGCAACCCATAATGGCATGATTTCTCGTGTATACTCCCAGCTGCTGTCCACAGTACAGGATAAAGCTAGTCTCCGGGGTAGGGTGCAGTGGACCCAGGATGTTGGAGATGTCTGGGACACTGCCCT